TATTTTGAAGTGGCTTTAGAAGAAGTTTAAGTTTAAAAAATTTGGCTCTCCAAAGAAATTTCAGTCGTTGTTCCGTTGATGTTTGGCTCTGTTGACTAATGAGTTTGCCGACCACTGGCCTAGAATATTTATTGCAGGGCCCCTAAAATCGCAGGTGAGGGCTTTAGTAGTCAAAGAGATGGTATGACCAACAAAGACCTGAAAACATATTTGAGTGACACTAGACAGCTACGTTTCTTTCATATCTTTATTGAGGTACTGATATCTTAGCATATTTTACTCCCTTTAGGGCTTAGTATCTTCCTTCTGCACATAGTAGGCACTCAATAAAGACTATAAAACAATCTGGTTGAAGGAACCATCTGTTTCATTATCAATGCTGAGGTAGAAGGAGGGAAAGAAAACAAAAATTTTATATTGCTTTTAATTCTATAAATGCATATTGAAGGTACATAGTTACTGAATGCAATATATATTTGTTTAATTTTACAAAGTTTTTGTTTTTCAAAATGGTTTTCAGCAGTGGGCAAGAAGTGAAGGGGGAATAAAACTTGGTAGAAAGGAATTGTGATACATTATTTTCAGGTTTTGTTGGTGACTGCCTTAATCACAGGATTGTGATACATTTTTTCTAAATTTTAATTTGCTCCGACCCATAAATTGTAAATATTCACAACCTTGGGTTGAGGTTTGGGTGACTGAGAACTATTTTTCTGCTGTGACTATAAATGTTGAAAACATGTTCAGAACTTTGAGTTCAGTACTCAGCTGCTATGAAGCACTGTTTAAGAAACCCAATGCTGGCATTTAGGATTCACAAAGCATTTCTTGGCAGCTCACTTTCCATTCCAGTCAAAATTTGTTTGATGCTTGCTGATTATTATTACTGTAGTAGACTTTTTTAAAAACAAAAAATAACACTTAAAAATATAACTTACTCATAGAACTTATTGTTTTACTAATATTTTATTTTCAGGTGTGTTTTTAAAATTTAAATAGAGAATAAGAATCACTAGCAATCTTCTATGGCTTCCTAAATTAAATATTAATATATTCCTTTGGAGAAAATTAGACCCCTTAATTTAGAATAAACCAATAAAAAAATGAAAGAATTTAAGTACTCAATAAAATGTTATAAAATCAAAATCCTTCAGAAAACTTTAGCAAACCAAAAACATAAACATATATATATATATATATATATATATATATATATATATATATATTTATTTATTTATTTATTATTATTATTTTTAATAATAAAATAAGCCTGAGTGAAAATGGCTATGAGAGAGAAGCAAGAAAGACTAGGCAAGTTGGAGGGATTCATTCACAGGTATAATTCTATGTGTAACTATTCAGAAACCATCCTGTGAGACCTTTTGGAAGAAGGTACAATATAATCTTTCACTGAGTTATTATAATTCATATGGTTATAGCATAAACCTATTTAAATGGATAGTTTAACCAGCATTCTCTTAGTGAACAATTCTTCCCAACTTCCTCTTCTCATGAAAGCCAAGAGTTGGATAATCTGCTAGGTAACTGCTCTTTTTAGCACACCGTTCTTTTAGAAGACAAAGGTCAAATGCCCAAAGAAATTCAAGACTTAATTAGAACTCACTGTTTTTCAAGGATTGCCCTTGCCATTTAACATGTCCTGAATGGTTCTTTGGAGACTAGTGCAAAGCTTAAAATTCAAATTCCCTTTGAAAAATGAATATTCCTCCATTTTCTATAATTTGGATACAGCATAGGCAGCATACTAAAAACCTAGGTTTAGGATATCTCAGTATCAATCCCTATTATATCAACATTAAGGTAAATTTCCCTGGGAGCTAGTTTCACTGGCAAAGTTGCTGAGGATGTAGTTCAAATGTACCTCAGATAGCATCACAAACCTATTAATCTATATATATAAGGCTAATATGAAAAGTCTCCCCACGGAAGTTCAACCAGGAGACTGGAAGTTCTATCACTCACTATGACATGTTCTGACCACCAAGGGTGACACAGAATGAAAGAAGATCCCAGCTGGCAGCCAGAAGGAAGGCCCTGGCTGGCAGCCAGAAGGTCTAGATCAGCCCTGATTGCCAGCCAGGCCTAGGGATCCTACCCATGCATGAATTTTGTGCACCAGGCCTCTAATTTAAAATAATTTTACATATGGTAATATGGGGCTCTTCCTTTTTTCTATTTGCTTTATTTCTTCCAAAAACTTAAAAATATATTAATAACTCACATTATTCTGGATTTGAAAATGGATTGCAGTATATCCCAATAAGAGACTTAGAGCTGAACTATAAAGTTAATAACATGCCTATTGGGGATATTCTTTCCCATGATATGACTCCTGCAAGAGCAAGAGAAGCACATTTTAGCTCAAGAATTAATTCACATAACTAAAATATCATGTAATATCTCTACATTTTATACAGTTCAGGGTATTTTGTTTTTGGGCATAGAATTCAGTGCTTTTATTTATTTTAAAACCCTTATTTCCTTTAACTAACCCTGAAAAAGACCTCAGGCATAGATTTCTTGCCAACAAAGCTGTAGAAAAATCCACCAATGGCTGGCCTCCACTGTTGCTAAATTACTGTAAATTATTCTTCAAGTTATTCTGTTGTGTTTTTTTTAAGGATTTCATAAAAATGCAATACATCTAACATTCACAAAAGGAATTTTGCAGATTTAAAATAACTCTGAGCTACTTTCCAACTCAGTTACCTTTTTTCTTAACATTTTTTAGGACAAGGTCCTCCAATATAATTTTTCTCATGAGCAACGAGGATATCTATACTAATAAAAGTGTAATATGCTAATTAGAGTGAACATCTTCCAGATGACCTTCTGGATGTCCTTCTAGACAAAGCCGCGATGGCAGGGCCATGGCAGAGGCAATTAGGGGCTATCAAGCTGGCAGGGGAGAGCATTAGGGTGATTAGGCTGGCAGGGGAGAGCAGTTAGTGGGATCAGGACATCAAGGGAGAACAGTTGGGGGGGGGGGGATCGGGCTGGCAGGGGAGAGCAGTTAGGAGCAGTTAGGGGTGATCAGGCAGTCAGACAAAGGTGGTTAGATGGGATCAGGCAGGCAGGGGAGCAGTAGGGGCATCAGGCAGGCAGGCAGAGTGGTTAGGGTGATCAGGCAGACAGGCAGGTGAGCAGTTAGGAGCCAGCAGTCCTAGATGGTGAGAGGAATGTCTGACTACTGGTTTTGGCATGATCCCACAGGCATTGAGCCTAAACCGAGAGTCAGACATCCCCCAAGTGGTCCCAGATTGGAGAGGGTGCAGACCAGGCTGAAGGATCCTGTCCTGTGCATGAATTTCATGCACCAGACCTCTAGTTTTAACATAATGAATGGTTCAACTACTACTATTGGCTATGCTCTGTGCAAGTAAATAATTAAAAAGAGCACAGGTTTTTGCAGGAAGAAAAACTTTGTCTCCTCTGCATGGGGCAGAGGGAGGAGGCATCTACTCTTCTCAGCTCCACATCTCACTTTCACTGAGTTCTCCTGACTCGAGTCTCTGGTAAGTATCCAAAGAGAGTCTGGCTTTCTGTTCATCTCTTATCAAACAGATGACTAGAAAGTAATACAATACAACAGTATTATCTTCATTTCCCAACCAAAAGAGGAAAATTTCACTGGTTTAAAATAGAATGTTATGCTCTCAGCTCTGATAGAAGACCCATTTAAGAACTATTTACCACTTGAAAGATATTTGGGGATATTTTCCAAATTAGATTTTCCATTACATACTTCCAAATTCTCTATATAGTGAAACCCATCCTTAGAGCTCAGCTAACTTATACAGGTTCCAATGGCTCCCCCAGCCAGTATATGTAGCCACACAGTAATATTATCTCTTAGCCAATGAGAGCATCAAAGCAACATATGTGATAAAGGAAAGACAAAAGTTGGATGTAGACAACCCCTTTGAAAAGGCCTTTCAAAGTCCCTTTGAAAAATGAGTATTCTCCATTTGCTATAATTCGGATACAGTATAGGCAGCATACTAAAAACCTAGGTTTAGGATATCTCAATATCAACCCTTACTGTACCAACATTAAGGTAAATTTCCCTTGGAGCTAGTTTTACAGTAAATAGAGAAATCCACTCCTTTCTTCAAGTGATGGCCAGGCAGGATAAAGATATTTTCAGAATATCATATTTCAAAAGGCATAGCAAGCCACAGTATCTGGGAAGACTTGAGGATTTTGAGTCTCCACCACTTGTGTTTTGAGTGATCTTGAACAAATTACTTAAAATTATTAAATTTTAATTCTCTCATTTTTATAAGTACCGCGCGCTAACCGATTGCGCCACTGGAGCCTTTAATTCTCTCATTTTTAAAATGGGGTGATAATTTCTTATAAAATTATATTGAAAAAAACTATGAGAATATATATTATTATGCAGCACAGAAACACAGACATGGAATGATAGGCCTAGTGTTTAGGAGAGAAGCAAAATGGGGGCCTCCAAAATGAGAAAAATGATTAGGTAAAACTATTTGGTTTTTTAAAAGAAAATATTGAATAGTTATCTTGATTATAAATAAACTTAGTATTTATATTTTCTTAGACTTTAATAAAATGCTTATTGACACTTATGCTTGCAGAAATGGCACTGCCAACCTCTCACTGCTCGTCACTCAAAGGATTTTGGTCCACCTCTGGCTTTCTCCTCCCTCTCTGGACCATCTGGTGCCCCACCCACACACAGATACTCAACCATTTTACTAAATTTGGCATGTCCTAATAAACTGAGGCTACTCATTTCTATGTCTGTTGTGTTTGTCTATTATTCACCCATATCCTTTTAGCTTATGTTTTTCTATGTTGTTCAGTGTACCATCAATCTCACAAACCTGGGTAACTTTTCTAGTCTGCCCCATGGGGTGGGGTTGGGAGGAGAAAAACACTCAAAAAAGTAGAAAATGAATTACAAATGCACAAGTGATAAAATTTTTAAAAACTATAATGTGACTCACAGGTACTCCCCTCTTTGAGATTCTCGTTATGGGGTGAAATTGATGCACAGCAAAGCACACCAGGTAAGTGCTCATGGGAACAGACTTCTGGAAAACTGTTCGTTGCCATTTGTCATCCACTGGCTCTTCTTTCTGTTGAAAACAAAAGATAATTTTTTTATCTATCAAAAGGTCAACCATGTCCAAAGACAACTTGACTTCCTACTCAGAAGTCCTTTGTCAAAGCTTAGGGGTAAAATAATCTTTTTAGGGGTAAAATGGTATTGATGAAAAGGTTATAAGAAATTTTATTTTATTTTATTTTATTTTCATTACTGTGAAAGAGTGATTGACCTATACACTGTATAAAGCTTCTCAGGGAAATACAATTTTGACTGTGATATAAACTGGACAGGAGTTAGTTATCTTTCAACATAAAGCACACAATCCTGACCATAATATTTTTAAAAATCTTTATTGTTGAAAGTATTCATATGTCCCCCTTTTCTTCCCCCACTCACCATAATATTTGAGGAGATACTGTGGTTTCTTAAAGAAGACAAGGCTAGAGTTCAAACCCTTGCACAGAGAAAGAACTAAATAGGTATTAGCTGATTTGAGCATGTGCAGGAGGGCAATAGCCGTACCAGGCATAGCAGGATATTGGGTTCTCTTTATCATGTCTGGTTGTCTACAACACAGACCCAAGATATGGTCACTAAAGTCACTGCCCCACTGTGGGAAGAGAGGATTCCATTGCTTGATGCAACTACTGATCCCATCTGTCTGGTTTTCTCTCCACGCCAGCTTTGTTTCCCTCCTAATACTCCCTCTATGAATACTTGCCAAACTCCTACTACCCATTATTTAAACATTCCCACTTGCCCTGCAGCCACACAGTAAGTCACAGGCCAGTGAGAAGCTTTAAAAAGGGAGGCTGGCCGAAACCGGTTTGGCTCAATGGATAGAGCGTCGGCTTGGGGACTGAAGGGACCCGGGTTCGATTCCGGTCAAGGGCATGTACCTTGATTGCGGGCATATCCCCGGTGGGGGGTGTGCAAGAGGCAGCTGATCGATGACTGTCTCTCATCGATGTTTCTAACTCTCTATCTCTCTCCCTTCCTTTCTGTACAAAAAAATCAATAAAATATATTTTAAAAAGGGAGGCTGAAGTAGAAATGATGTGTCGTTCACAAGGCAAGAGTGTGTACACATGTGCTTGTATGGGAGCACTGGAGCTCCAGGGGAGTAATATGCTCTGCAATAAAAACCTATTGGCGATAGTTTTGATCTCCTAATAATTCAGAATAGTCTCTCCTTTCCAGGATTTCCAGAAGTATATTCTGCAAAAGTTAAAGGTCACATAGGGAGGTCTTCAGCAGAAGTTACTAAAATTGGCATTCTTTTACCTCCCACCTTCACCTTCCCCTTCCAGGCCAAGACATTCTAATAACATTTTACTCTGATCCAGTCTTCTGCATTGGTGCTTCATACGTTAAGTTTATCCTGTCATCTTTCTTCCCCAATCAAAACTCAATTGCTCAGATGCCTGACACTGAAAGAAAAGTTAATAAACTAATTCACACTGGGGCATAGATAACTGGTGGCAGTTCACTTTTAATCCTCTTAAGATTTTGTTTGTTTTAGTTTGTTCTTGTGGGGTTTTTTGTTTGTTTGTTTGTTTGTTTGTTTTGAGGAATCCTATATAATAAAGAGGTAATATGCAAATTGACCATCACTCCAACACACAAAATGGCTGCCCTCATGTGGTTAAAGATGGCCACCATAAGATGGCCGGCAGGGGAGAGTAGTTGTGGGCGATCAGGCCTGCAGTGGAGGACAGTTGGGAGGGACCCAGGCCTGCAGGGGAGGGAATTTGGGGGGGACCAGGTCAGTAGGGTGGGGCAGTTGGGGACAGCCAGGCCAGCAGGGGAGAGTAATTAGGAACAACCAGGCCTGCAGGGGAGGGCAGTTAGGGGCAACCAGAACTGCAGGGGAGGGCAGTTAGGGGTGACTAAGCCAGCAGGGGAGGGTAGTTATGGGCAATTGGACTGGTAGGGGAGCAGTTAGGTGTTGATCAGGCTGGCAGGGGAGTGGTTAGAGGGTGATCAGGCTGGCAGGCAGAAGTGGTTAGGGGAAATCAGGCAGGCAGGCGAGCATTTGGGAGCCAGCAGTCCTGGATTGTGAGAGGGATGTCCGACTGCCTGATGGGATCAGGCCTAAACGGGCAGTCGGACATCCTTGAGAGGTCCCAGATTAGAGAGGGTGCAGGCTGAACTGAGGAATATCCCCCACCCCCGTGCATGAATTTCATGCACTGGGCCTCTAGTATTTATAATAAAGATGGATAAAGACTTCTAGGAGTTCAAAGGAAATGTATTCTGAAACCTTTAAATAAGCTATTAGAGTACATTTAATTTTAGAATTTAGTGGTGTTCTTTCATAGCAAATCAGATAATTTACCTGGTATTTTAAACTAACTATATTCATAAACAAACAATTTTTCAAAAATACTCACCTCTACCGGCATATTTGAAAGAGCCTTATAGTCTTTGGGGTGGACGATAGAAATTGTATAAGTTGCCTTTTTGTTGGGCTCATCAAAACAAGGGAAGGATTTCCTGGCATCTGTTGGTTCATGATCAGTGGCTGCTATGCTCCTTGGAACAAACACACACAAACAAAATCCATGTTGTCTCTTCTGACAGCCCTTATGTTTCTACTCCCACAGAAAACAATCAACTGTATAATTATATCCGCTACATTTCTTAAAATGAGTCTCCATCCACACTCAGGTGCCATAATTAAAAATACGTGAATTGTGGATGAGCAAAAATAAACCCATTTATGAGCTATCACTCTCTTCACCACAAAGTGGTTGAGCAACTAGTCGATAATCACAAAATCTGGGTTTGTCGGGAGCTGCCCTGTGAGAGGAGCAGCTGTGTTCCGTCACAGAGCAGAGGAGCTTGTCCCAGGGCCCAGCTCCTGTCCCTGATGGCACATTCTTTCGTATTTATGTTACTCCAGGGACAAAACCCAGTTTCATTTCCAGGCAAAGGAAGACTCTGAGCAATCTGCCAGGTGAAGCAACCTTTGGCCAAGTTTAAAGCCCATTTTTGAGAAGATCATTTTTTATGGCTCTAACTTAACATATGCTTATGTAAGCAAAAATGTTTACATTTAATATTTCCATCACTTCAAAGTGGAAGTACTTTTTCTGAGCAGTTGCTCAAAAAAAGAACAAAAAACAATGAATATATAATTTTTATGTCTAGTCTTATCACAGTAAGACAGTTTTATTGTATTGCTGATAGGAAGAGTAAGCAAAGTAAAAAAATAAAAGAAAGGACAAGAATGTTGGCTTATATTCATTAATAATTTGTGTAAGGAAAATATTTTGTTCTTTGAGATCCTTAGGGATTAAGGAAGGTATATCATAAAGATCACCAAGCTAAATTATTAGATCATTTATTCATCCAACAAATACACACACACACACACACACACACACACACACATACACACACACACTGACACACACATACACTTGCTAAGTATTATTCTATGTGCTGAGAAAATAACAATGACAAAATTTAAAAAAATAGATATACAAATAGATAACAGAGTAAGTAAGTAAATAAATTAGGAGCATGATGGGAGCTCTGCACAAAATAAAACAAGGAGTGACAGAGAATGATTCTAGAAAAGTGGTGAGCAACATTAAGTATAGCAGTAAAGGACAATCTCTTAGAGGAGGTGATTTGCTGAAATCTACATGATGAGGGAAAACCAAGACAGGTGAAGATCAAGGAAAATGTGTTCTAGCAGAGGGTGCACAGCCTCTGAGGTGGAGAATAACTTGATGTGGTCGAGAACCTAAAAGGTGTCCAGTGTGACTGAAGTCTAGTGAACCAGAGAGACTGGGAAAAGGAGTTTCAAGAGCAGAGACCAGAATAAGGATCTGGATTTCATTTGGGTTCAAGGGTGTATTTTTTCAAATATATTTTTATTGATTTCAGAGAGGAAGGGAGGGAGAGATAGAAACATCAATGATGAGAATCATTGATTGGCTGCCTCTGCACACCCGACACTGTGGGGGATTGAGCCCACAACCTGGGCATATGCCCTAACCGGGAATTAAACCATGACCTCCTGGTTCATAAATCCAAGCTCAACCACTAATGCATGCAGGCTGGGCAAGGGTGTATTATATACATTAATTTACTTTAAAAATACTATGTCTTAGCCCTAGCTGGTTTGGATTAGTGGATAGAGCAGTCAGCCTGCAGACTGAAGAGTCCTAGGTTCTATTCTGGTCAAGAGCACATGCCCGGTTGCGGGCTCAATCCCCAGTAGGGGGGAGTGCAGGAGGCAGCCAGTCAATAATTCTCTCTCATCACTGATGTTTCAATCTCTCTCTCTCTCTCTTCTTCTCTGAAATTAATAAAAATATATTTTTTAAAAATACTATGTCATAGCTCAACATCCATTTATAAGAAATTAAAATATTTTTGAATTTAAAAAAAAAAATCTCCCAGCTTACAAAAATTAGTTTATAAATACACAACCAAGAAAACTAACCTATGTAAGAAATACAACCAGAAAAAGTGTCTGTCTGGAGAGGCTGTTGACTCAGGGAGGGAACTTTCTGGAATGATTAAAAAAAAATCTTTATCTTCATCAAAGTGTGGATAATAAATATTATAATTCACTGAATTGTGCCTATTAGGTTTGTGCATTTGCTATATACAAATTTTTCTAAAAATAATTGTTAATCAATATTGAGCTCTAGTAAGTAGTTTTGTGTTGTTGCTAGGTATAGACTAGTGATTCAGGAACAACCTTCTCTATATGCTTGCTTGAGCCAATAAAAAAAAGTAGTGAAAAGCAGCTTTCTCACTGTTGGGGAAGAGAATTGTAAATTTGTAAAGGGGAAAGTTTAGAACATAAAAATGCAGGTTTAGAATAAATTCAATGATTTGCATAGAACTGGTTGCAATGACAAGCATGTAGCATTGAACGCAATTACCATATTTTTCCATGTATAAATGCCCCCATGTAAAAGACGCCCCCCAAAATTAAGAAATCAATATTTTAAACATTTTTCTGGCTTTCCTCTTTTTAAAAAAAAATATATTTTATTGATTTCTTTACAGAGAGGAAGGGAGAGAGATAGAGAGCCAGAAACGTCGATGAGAGAGAAACATCGACCAGCCACCTCCTGCACACCCTCTATGGGAATGTGCCGGCAACCAATGTATATGCCCTTGACCCGAATCGAACCTGGGACCTTTCAGTCCGCAGACCGACGCTCTATCCACTGAGCCAAACCGGTTTCGGCTCTGGCTTTCCTCTTAAGGCCTTCTTCTTTTTTGGCATCTTAAGGAGCTGTTCTTCCTGTTTTCTCCACTGTCTGATCGGACACTCAGTGGGAGGACATCCAAATTGTCTCTCTATACTTCTATTTCCATGCTCTTTTGCATAGCTGATTACATTTAGTTTGAATTTTTCAAAATAAGACAATCACTTACTGGTACTTATCTTTTTATTTTTTGACATTTTTATGGGCTTAGATAGCTCAGATCCCTGTTCCATCTGCACACTCTCCACCTCCACCTCCAATTATGGCATCAGCTGATACAGTAACAATAAGGCTCATGATTGGAGGAAGCTTGTCTGACAATGTATGGGCAGCTACACACCCCCTAGACTCCTCTTTGGCTGACTTCTGTATATAAGATGCCCCTCGCCGAGACCGATTTGGCTCAATGGATAGAGAGTCGGCTTGGGGACTGAAGGATCCCGGGTTCAATTCCAGTCAAGGGTATGTATGTAACTTGGTTGCAGGTATATCCCCAGTTGGAGGTGTGCAAGAGGCAGCTGATCGATGATTCTCTCTCATCAATGTTTCTAACTCTCTATCTCTCTCCTTTCCTCTCTGTACAAAATCAATAAAAAATTTTAAAAAAAAGATGCCCCTCGATTTTCAGTCTAATGATTTTAGAAAAAGTAACGTCTTATACACGGAAAACTATGATAGTTCTCAGATGATCATTTTTAAATATCACTCCCCACTCAAAAAATCCAGGACTCCTTAGAGAAATGGCTAATTCCAGTGCGAGGTCAGGAAAAGTCCAAAATAATCCTGGAGCATCTGTGTGCCAAAAAGTAAGAAAGTCCTCAAAGAATCATGGGAACAAGTCACAAAAACACAAGAGTCTGCTTGAGGAGACTACCACTAGCCAAATCTGGGAGATTTGGAACATCAAAAATAAACAATGGAATTATAACTAATTGAATGAAATAAAAATCCATGAACCCTTAATCTAATAAAAATGAATGAATAGGTCTAGCCAGTTTGGCTCAGTGGATAGAGTGTTGGGCCATGGACTGAAGGGTCATGGGTTTGATTCTGGTCAAGAGCATGTACCTAGGTTTTAGGCTCTATGCACTGTCCAGTTTCCTGTCAGGGCTCCTGCAGAAGGCAACCAATCTATGTGTCTCTCTCACATCGATGTTTCTCTCTAACTCTTCCCCCTCCTTCCCACCCTCTCTAAAAATCAATAGAAAAATATCCTCAGGTGAGAAGTAATTAAAAATAAATATAAATATCCTATATAATAAGAGGGTAATATGCAAATAGACTGAAGGGCAGAACAACCAAACAACCAATCAAAGCCTAATATACTAATGATATGCTAAGGCTGCTCAGCTGCTCACTTTGATGTGCACTGATCATCAGGGGGCAGACAGTCAACCGGTCAAACAGTCACTGTGATGTGCACTGATCACCAAGGGAAGATGCTCCGGCTGGTAGGTTAGCTTGCTTCTGGGGTCCGGCCAATTGGGAATGAGCAAAATGGGACAGACACAACCTGGAGCCCACCTGCGGTCCCTCCCTGGCCCAATAATGCACTGGTGGGGCCCCTAAGTCCGGCCTTCACTCTTGCAATTCAGGACTCCTTGGGGGTGTCAGAGAGCTGGTTTCAGCCTGGTCCCATAGACAACTCCCCTTGGGAAGGCGCCAGACACAGGGCTCAAGCTGGTAAGCACTGCTACAGCAGCACGAGCCTCTCCCTATCTGGACTGATTGGGCATGAGCCTGCAGCAGGCATAGTGGGGCCGGGATGAGTGGGAGTGGCAGGTAGGAGCTGCAGGCAGCATTGGACTGCAGGTTTCAGCCCAATCTCTGGAGGCCACCCAGAGGGATCCCACCTGTGCACAAATTCGTCCACTGGCCTTCTAGTATATATATATATTAGATTGCAAAAGACAAAGAAAGACCAAGGGACTGTTCAAGGGAGTCTAAAGAGGCATGACACTAAAAGCAATAATGGATGTATACTGAAAAAATAGCTAAAAGAACATTTTGTGGAGAAAACAAAGATGGCTGCATAGGTAAATACCTAAACTGCTGCTTCGCACAACGATTTCAAAACTACAACTAAAAGACAAAAGGAACATCATCCAGATCCACGGAAGGCTGGCTGAATGGAAATTCTACAACTAAAAGGAAAGAGAAAAGCACACAGAGTTTCACGGGAGTTGCAGAAGGCAGAGGTATGGAGGCGCACACAGAGAAGGCTGTTTTTTTCAAGTGGGAGGGAGACAAAATTTCCCAAAAGCTCTGAAATCCAGTTCTGGGTGAGACTCTGGG